GTCTGTGTTTGTAACCATTGTGCCCAAATGCGCTCAGGTGCCCCAGGGAGACAGCACTCTCAGCATTTGCCAGATTCTGCACAAACTACTAGCTCTAGGCAATTCACAGTTTCAGCAGTAGACTCACGACACCATATTTTTACAAAGTTCAGGTGTTACAGTGATAAAAAGCAGGGTCTTCTCAAACATCAAGCGGAGCCAGAATGGAGGGTGGCAATGCCCAATCGGATTCCCAGTTTTGTAAAGCCGGGAACAGCTCAGTGAGTGCATCCATCCCTTCAGGAAGTCATTGTGGTTGTTAAAGAACGACACAACAATTTTTTTTTTTCAATTTATATGTATTATTTTCCAAGATGGCTAATAAGCTGTTAGGACCTAAGTCATTAAGTTGTTTGGACCCAGCTACTTAATAAACAGAACTGTTAGGTTTTTCTTTTGGCCTGGGGGCAATATAAACGTGATGTGAATGGAGAAAGTTTAGGAACCTCTGCGCGCACCATTCTGCCATTGGTAGAACCCTGGAGGGAAATGATGGAAAAGCCCTTCTGGTGCAGAAACCCCACCCTGGTTGTCTGTTCTAGGGAACCTCTTTCTGTCTCTATGTCACATCTGCCTGTGATAATGGACTCTGCGTGTGTGTGTGTGTGTGTGTGTCTTTGTCTCTCTATCTTTCCCTCTCTGTCTCTCTCACACAAGCGCACACACACACACAGACATACACACAGCTCTCCTTTCCCTCACACAAAACCAAATATCCCCAGACCCCATCAGACAGTTGTCAAAATGTCAAAATCCCATCTGAGTTCCCTTTTTGTCAATTTTTGCCATTTTTCAATTATGTCAGGAAAGAAACTGGTTCTGTTTTTCAATTTGAACTGAGTCAAAATGCAAGCTGAGCATCTCCCACTGAAGTACGTCTACTCCTCAGGTTAGAGGTCAGTTGTCAACTCACACCCACGTGACACAGTGACAAGCAGACACACAAGTGCACACCCCCCACCCCCCAAGGCACCTCAGACTGGCACGCAACACTTAATAAACACACAGAGACAATTTTGAGACAGAATGGCAACTGAGAGAGGCCCAGTAGTATGACAAAGGGGAGAGGGGGCGGGGGCGTGGGTGGTGGGACAGCGGCGGTGGGGAAGTGGTCACTGGGACTCAGGCCACAGGCACACTTTCATACTGGAAGTGCCTCATTTACTACAACAGAAAAGTAGACAGCGGTGGTGTGGGGGAAGTGTGCATGCAGGATTAGGTGACCTGGCTTTATTACCAACCAGAGGCCGCCTTAGAAAAGTCACTTTTGCCAGGCCTGTTTCCTCATCTGCAATGGGATTGGCTTGCCCAGTGCTCCTCAGACTAGGATGCCTGAGGTACATTCACAGCTTGCCTGTGCACCTGACCACCTTGGAACATCTGACTTTGGGGGAATGTCAAAATTTGGGGAGGCCCACCGTTTTTACAGGAGCACATTTTGTACTATTGTTCAGAATGCAAAATTTACATGCATCTTAATTATAATAACTAATACTTGATAATATTTAATGAGTGATGCTGTGTACCCAGTGTTGTGCCAAACTCTTCGTGTGATCCTCACAATAACTCAATGAGGTATTTTATTCCCATTGCATAGATGAAAAAAACGGGCACACAAAGTAATAATCCACCAAAAGTCCCACCTTAAGTAATGATACAACGAAAGACCCTTCCCTCCAAATCTGGGCCCGTTACATGATCCACCTCTAGACCTATGCGGGCTTCTTTAGTGAAGTCTGAACAACACGTGCCAAAATCATCTCCAAAGTCCAGCTCTCATACTCCTAAATCAATTTTAGCTAAATCGCTGGATAAACGACTTCGCACATCCGGTGGCCGTAGAGAATGCAGGAGGCTAGGGAGACCCCGAGTGAGCTCCGGGGATTCACTAGGTGGGCTTTTCCGGCGCTACCAAAGGGCCACAGGGCTTGAGGTCTCCTCTTTGCCACCGACTCTCCGCCCAGCCGGGGTGTTGGGAGCCGGCGTTGCCCGGCACTTCCTCGTTCCCGCGCGCCCCGGGTGCAGCGCGTACGCCCAGCGCCGGCGCTCCTGTGGCGGGAGGGGGCTAGCGCGGAGGGAGGTGTCGCAACCGCCTCCCTCCCTCTTCCCCGCCTTGGCACTCTGTCACCTCCCAGATGAGCGCGCTCCCAGACTGCTGCGGGCCGCCGGGCGCCCGGCATGTCCCCTGAGTTAGTGCAGACGGCGGGCGCTGAGCCCCTGCTCATCTTGGAGCGAGCCAACCGCACCCGCTTCCCCTTCTTCTCCGACGTCAAAGGCGACCACTGGCTGGTGCTGAGCGCCGTGGAGACCATCGTGCTGGCGCTCATCTTTGCGGTGTCGCTGCTGGGCAACGTGTGCGCCCTGGTGCTGGTGGCGCGCCGACGGCGCCGCGGCACGACAGC